TGGCGACTAAAAGATTAAGTTACAACCCTAAATCGAAAACGCTGAAGATCTGATACAAATATAACAAACAAAAAGTTTAATTCATCAATGAATAAATGATAGTTTATATAAAAAACTAAAAAAAAAAAAACTTTTATTGCAGATCGAACTAAAAATCATAAATAAATTATAGTTTAAAAAAACTAAAAAACACGCTTTTGTATAGTCAATTGAAGTAAAAAGCAAAAAATAATTCTTAATATAAGAATAAAATGATTGTAGAGAAAATGATTGTCATTGTGGTAAAAGCGGGGGGGCGCCCGGCGCTCGATGTCAATTTTGTTAGAATTTCTTACTAGTTGTATTCTGAAATGCTGAGTTAGTGTAAAAATGTAGTACAAAGCATCCCACACTTTTACCACAATGACATTAATTTTCAAAAAAAGTCATTTTATTCTTATATTAAGAATTATTTTAATACAAGTTGGTGTGTTGCACTTTTTCCCTTTTCCTCTTATATAAGTCTGTCCCTTAGATATTATTAAAGATGAAATATTCTTCCGAAAGTTTAGACTAACCCTATATATAAGGGTTAGTTTAAACAATTAAATTTAATATGCAATCTGTGTAAAAAAATAAAAAAAAGGACACAATTTGTACAGTAATTCGGGGAATTATAGATTCTGATTTTCAGAAATTGTCAAAAAGAAATATATAATATTAATTCAAAAAACCGTGTTAAAAAGAGATAAAAAAACAACTACATAATTTTTGAGATTTGTGTGTATTTACATTTATATATATAACATTGATACATTTAATATTAATAAGTTTATACATAATTCAGTTAAAAACTGCAATAAAATTAGGCTTCAAGAAAGAATAAAAAGTTAGATTTTTAAAGAAAATGCTAGAGAAATGATATAAATTACGCTGTTGTTTACCACGAGATGAATGAAAATCGCTGTTGCTAGAAAGATCAACTATATTGATATTGATTTTTTTTTTATTACAAAAAGCTTTTATTTATTAATTTCTCTTTTAATTTTGTATGTTTATTTTTTATTTAAATATGATTCGTGGAGTACCCAACTAAAAAATTTTTCCGATCTCTCTTGAATTTCAGATTGAATTTCCTGTTTAGATTAATTTTTATGAACAGATTTTCTGTGTTAAATGCGCTCCAAAGTCAAACTAGTTAGTAATGGATGAAATTCGTCTTCATAATTTTCCTTAAATCATAAGATTAAATCAGTTGTGTAAAATATAAGGCGGAATCTGGGACCGTTTTATTTTAAAACTATGTAAAAAAGACCATGTGAAAAATGAGTTAGGAGTGTGATTTAAAGACGTCCTTATGATTTGGGGAATGTTATTACGGATTATTGAAATGTTAGGAGAATATTGGATTAATAACTTAAAATGTTAAAGAAAAACTATATATTTATACAGTACTTAATTTAAGTAATGGTTACAGTTACATATGTTATACAACGAACGAAATATGTAATAAAACTATTACCCTTTAAGTACTTTAGCTGGATTTCATCCTATGATTTCTGTGGGGAAGTCTTAATGGCCGTTTAGATTGTTAAATTGCACTGAGCTTTAGTTAAACAATGTTATTTTTTTTTTTATCATAAGTGAAAATAAATAATTTTTTAGAAAAATCAGATTTTATTTCGATGTTTTACTTTGAAAATAAAAAAAATAATAAAACAAGTAATACAAAAAAAAAAAAAAAAACCCCAAAAAATTAAGTAATTTTTTATTTAGGTCAACTAAGAAATATTTTATTTTAGTTACTTTTTATTAAATAATTACAATTAATATATAATAGGTATATACGTATGATAGAATCACACTATTAAGTGGCAAAATAGAAAGTGATTTTCCTTGCAATTTTCCCCTTTCATTTCTATATAGGGTGTTGGACTATTATTTCCGTTTCTTATTATTTATTCATTACTTAAATTTAATTAATCCATTAAAATAAAATAATAAAAAGAAATCACATTCTCAGAAATTAGGTCATCCCAGGTAGGATTCGAATTTCACGACCTTTGGATTAGAAGTCCAACGCGCTATCCATTGCACTACAGGGACACAACGAGCGATTTTTCTTTTTATGTATGGTGTTGGACTATTATTTTGTTTGTTACTATTTATTCATTAATTAAATAGAATTAGAATTAATATTTTTAAAAAAACTGTATTAACATCAAGTGCCATCCATTACAAGTTTAAAAAAATGTATTTGAACGTGAATGGATGAATAAAAAGTATTTTATTAACGATTGAAAATTCGAAC